CCACGTCACGCCAGCGTCTATAAAATGGTGTTGGGTAAAGGTGTATTCAGAAAGTAAAAGTAAAGGCAGACAGAGTCGGGGAGGGAGAGTGGGGAGAGAGGGAGAGAGTAGCGCAAACTAAAGTCAATCTCACAGCAAAATTGTGCTTTAATGTGTGGCGTTTCCTTATTATAGGCTCCTTCTATCTCTCTCTTTCTCTCTCTCTCTCTCTCTCTCTCTCTCTCTCTCTCTCTCTCTTTCACGGCCTCTCTTTTACATTCCATATCTCTGTCTGCCTCTTGTTTTTCTCGGCTTTCTCGCACTCTCTCTTTCTTACTCTCTCCATCCGCTTCACTCTTCCTCTCGCTCATTGTCTGGTTTCCTTTTTGTATCTCTCATATTTTCTTTTTCGAACACGCTCTCTTTCTCTGTGCTTCTCTCTCTCTCAGTGATTCCGCATTTCTTATCCTATCTCTCTCTCTTTTATATTCGCTCTGCCTCTCTCTTTCTCATTTTCTTTCTTTCTGTCTCTCTAATTTCCTCTATCTCATTTTCTCTTTCTCTCTCTCTCTCTCTCTCTATTTTCATCTCCCACTCTGTTTTCCCCTGTCTATCCCTTTACCTATTCGTAGCCGTTCTCTGTCTGACTTCACTCTTGTATATTTGCTCTTTTACATATTCAAGTCTTTCTCTCTCTCTTTCTCTCTCTCTGTCTCTCTCTCTCTGTCTCTCTTTCTCATTCATTCCTTTTCTCTTTCTATCTCCGCTTTTGCACACTTTATATTGTTCTATCCCTCTCTGTCACTCTATCCCTCTCTCTGTTTATAAATGTCCACCTATTTGCTCTCCCTATCTCTCTCTTTCTCTCTCCCTTTATTTCTGCTTTCCCTTTCTCTCCCTCCCTTCCGCTCTTCGACCACTGAGCACCAATTAATGCGATAGTTTCTAAAGGAACCCCTCAAAAAACTTCTCCCAATTGATCTGCTTATGTAATATACTTACATACATATTAAATTTACCAGAGTCATACTCACAGCTCTGTCATACCGTTATCTCAAGCTGATAGCCCGACAGCGACGCATGGAGATATTCTAATGCAAATTGATAATTCGATTTAGTTCGCATTTCCTATATATGGCTTTATGGGTAACATGAAATAGGAGCTAGTGTTTGCTCGTGCTGCAGAGTCGGTGTGTCGCTCTTTTTGATAGAGTGCAGAATGTAATGTAAAATGCATAAGAAACAAATGAAAATAATTTATTTACATAAAGGCAAAGTGAGCCGTGTCGCCATCAGCGTCGAGTTACAAATTCGTTTATTCGACACAGAATCTAGTTTGAGGGTTTTCCGTGTCCACAGCAAACGCTGCCAACAGCGAACCACTTGTCACGTATACCCTGTAAAAGCGAGCCGAGAGGGTGGTACTCAATGAATAAATAGAGAATGGATGGAGTGGATGGAAAATGAGATCGAATCGATCAAAATGAATTCAGATTTTGTCTGGGAATCAACTTGAATTTGAATTAAGATTTATATATGTATATAGCTTTGGGGCTTAATTAGATTTATATATGGGCCCTACAGGATGTCAGTTAGTCGAGCTCTTCGAATCTGGCGCATTTACTTTTTTGTTTTGACCGCTTCGAGCAGATTGTGTCAGATATTAAATTTATTTACGCGAAATTCGCACTTCGGGCTGTGTGAAAAAACAACGGCAGCAACAACAACAACAGCAACACCAACTACAACTACAACAACAAGAACTGTGAATGTGGCACAAAATGTTGCCAAAAAAAAAAAAAAGTTAAAATAAAAAAACTAAATAGAAATAAATAAAAAGGAAACAAAATAACTGAATTCAACAAAAATAAAATACAAATATTGGGAAATGGCGGACAACGGTTTTCATGAAAACCGTGTTTAGCTTTTCAATGCTCTGTACCCAAAATGCTAGAGGTGGGCATGATGAGTTTTATTTGGATGTTATATGGACTGTTATGTGGACTCTCCAGATGAGGTCAATTGTTGTTCTATATAGAGATCTGTACATGTGAATATATACGCTAAGTGGAGCGTATGTGGAATACATGTGGATTCCATGTAAAGTCAATGTTGAACACATGTGAATTCTACTTGGAATGTATGTGAACGCTTTGCTAAATCTATGTGGAATATATATTGACTCCATATGGAATCTATGCAGAATCCATGTGGGGTCTAAGTGGACTCTATTTAGAATCGCTGTGGATTCTATGCGGACTCTATGTATAATCTCTGTGGATTCTATGTGGACTCGATGTATAATCGATGTGGATTCTATGCGGACTCTATGTATAATCTCTGTGGATTCTATGTGGACTCGATGTGGAAACTATGTACAATCTATATCGACTCAATGTTATGTTCATGTAAACTAAGTGTAGAGTATATATGGAATCTATATAGAACTTAGTTGGATTCAATATGAGCTCCGTGTACACTGAATTTTAAATAGATGAATCTCTGTGGACTCTATGTGGTGGAATTTATGTGGAGTCTATATAAGCAACATGTAAGCTCTATGTGAACTCTACTCGGAATCTATACGGAGTTTGTTAAAACTCAATGTGGACTCCGGCGACTCTAACGTGGAATACATGTGAATCTATGTGTCGTTTATATGGATTCTATATAGACTATATGAACGTTATATGGATCGTCAGGCTTGCCGGTAAAGATGACCTTGATAAAGATAAAAGCAGACAATATTTGCGATTACAGGGTATTTGGCAGCTGGTCAGCGACGTGCCGAGCCACTTTGCCAGTTGAGTGCATTTTGTTTTATGCTTGTCGCTGCGGATTACCAACTCGAAAAAGGCGTTCAACTATGCGAAGTTGAAATTTGACTGCGCTCCCAGCATTGGGTATAATATTTCAATTCGATTCGTTTCCCGAAACAAAGGGACTTTAAAGCGCTGATTGGATTGGAGCTGGTGCGTCCGTAGCGCGACTGCATGTCCCCGAGCAGCTGCTAAATTCAGCTGCTACCAATTACGATTTGCGATTACAGCGTACAAAGTGCCCAGCGAGCTGAAAGAGGAAGCCGAATGGACAACCCATGATGGAGACAGAGATACCCCTTACCAAGTCTGTTGATATCTGATAATAATTGCGAACCGAAGTATGTAAATATGTAATTGATCATCAAATTAAAATCCTTAGCTTTGATTACTGCAATCGGGCATATGCGCATCAGCAATACCCTCTACTTTTTAACTGAAAGTAACTCTGTAGTACTCTGACTTCATCTTGATATCATGTTGGTATCTTTGTATCTAAAATTCCTGAAAGCCAGCCAATATGCCCAGTTTGATACTCATTATGCAAATGGATGTATATAATTGTATAGACCATATACAGCCATAACGTGAATCAATAATTGGGTAAAAGTGAAAATCTGTGTTTGATAATATTTTACCAAATTACGAAAAGCCACATAAAATGCTCAATGCCAAAAGAGAGACTTAAATTTTGAGTGGTGCGAATATCGGTGGGAGTGGGCGGATGGGATGGGTGGGTGGGGTGGTTGGTTGGCTTGACTTGATGGAGAGGCCTCCACGGACATGTATCTATATTTATATGTTGTACGTGTTGCAATGGCTCACGCATACATTGATATTGCTGTTGCCTATCTCTCTGTGTGCTACGGCAGTAAGCCCACGAAATGTGGGCAGCATAGTGTATAAATGGGGTCCATTGACTTTGCCAGCAAAGTGATGGGTGATATATAGATGGCATATATGCCATATATGGCATATGAATGGAGTTGAAAGAATCAATTAAATGGTAGCATATTCAAGTTTGCTACCTTATAGACTCGTTCGCTATATCTAAATAATATCCATATCAAACTATATATAGTCATCATATGTGATATAAACAGTGTTGAGAGTAGTTGATATAATCAAACACATGGGATAATATAAAATGATGATGTTGCTTTATAAGGTATGCACGAGCTCGTTGCTTATTTGTGATAATATTTAAGATGTATCTATATCCGACTATATAATGTCATATGAGTCATAGATAGTGTTGAAGGCAGTTGATGGAGTCGAACAAAAGGGAATATATCAAAGTCTGCTACATTACAAAGTATGCATCTACCAAGAGAACCCATTTGCTAGTTTATAAAGATATCAGGAGAACTGTGTGAATCTGTATAGACTCTGTTGGTTGATAGAATGAAGTAAATGAGATCATTTTAAAGTCTGTTTTTTTTTTTTTTTTTTTTTTTTTTTAATTTAAATTTATTTACAGGTAAGCATACTTTTTTTTGACAACTTAATCTAAGCAGAAATGTTAACTAATTTACATACTAAAAGCTACAATCTAGGATACTTATATATTATGCATATATTATAAAATGACAGATATTTAGTGTGCCTCTCAGGTGTATAAGCAGGTCTTGAGTGTGACGGCGTTTCAGTCTCCTCCTTATACCATTTCGGTGGTTGACTCTGCTATGCGCTGCAGAGCCTAGGCGTCTGGCCAAATGATTTGGATGGGAGTCAAGTTAAAGTCTGTTGCCTTACAGAGTATGCACAAGTCAATACGACTCGTTTGTTAATTTATAATGATAAATAGAAATCAAAATGTCTGTCTATATAGACCTCAGATAGACTCAAACAAATGAGAAGACATTCCACTCAGTTCCCTTACAGAGCTCTTCTTTATCTTCAGTTTTTTCTAAAGAGTATTCACAGTTCAATAGAATTCGATTTGCCATTCAGTCGTGTTTACATCTTTTCTTTTATGACGCTCCTTCGCTCGCTCTGTTTTGCATATAATTCGGGCTTAACGGCTGCAGTCGCTGGCGTTGTTGGGCAGTAAAAGCCTGTTCGAGGCTCTGTGCGGCTGAGCCGTGGCTCAGTCGTTAAACTGGGCCAGGCCATGAGCAATTGGCATAAACGGTTAGCTGTCGCTGCCAAACGGTGTTGATCTGGCGACTTATGCGATTATTTCTCTTGTACTACTTGCAGACGAAATACTTTGGAATTAGCTTGCACTGCATTGATCGCATCGAACAGAGCCGAAATACCCTGGAATTGGTGAGTATGCAACACTGGGGATAACTGTCACAGCAGGGGACCGGCCGGGCGTCCGTCTCTCGGGGTTAATTAAAATAAGTAATACACTTTGACGAAATTCCATTTAATCTACTTCGCTTCGAACTCGCTAAGACCCAACCAGAAGCGCCAAATTAATTATGCGCATATTTGTGGACTCCACAACAGCGCCAAAAACAAAATGAAACCAAAAAAAAAAAAAGGAGTGGAGCAATGGGGAGTTCTGGGAAGGGACAAATGTTCGAGAAGCAAAAAGAAAAGAACCGAAAAAAAAAGGTTCACTTTGATTTGCATTTTTTGGCGTACTCGAATACGACATTTATGACATTTACCGCAGATTGCGTGGCAGCCGCCCCTGGCAACCGCCGCCCTCTATTAATTACAACAATCCACTACTAATCAGGACTCCACTGGGCTCCGCTGGCCGTCCGCTGGGCTCTCCTCTGTGTTAAATGGACCGCTGAGCCGCATAATTTCCAAGTGCTAAGACGGAAGCTCTACGGCGGAGCATTAAAAGCAACAAAAACAACAAACAAACGAAGGAGACGTAACAATGAAGGAAGATGGAAGAGAAAAAGGCAGAATATGGGGAAAACATATATTTAGAAAATTGAATATAGAATAGTTACTGTACATACCTAGATAGATATATAGATTATATATATTTGTAATTGTAATTGTATATAGTATAATATTATTTAGAATAACTCGTAACAGTTGATACAGCTACAGACTGTAGACATACATAGATACGATGTAAATGCTTAGGTTGGGAAGGATAATTCGAAATAGCAAGGGGATCAGCTTTTTTTTCCATTTACACAGAACTTCAAATTTTGGAGAATTTTTGAGATCGAATTTCCTTCAAGGGGATCGAATTTTTGTCGAGTTATCGCAATTTTCGATTTAGCGGGGTACGAATTATCGAGACTCGACTGTATTTAGCAGGTTGAGTATAGGAGCTATAAATATTTTATATATAATTATTACATATGTAAATTTTTTTTTTTTACGGATTACAATATACCTTTAATGATATTTTCAGAAAAATAAAAAAGAGTTTAATAGAAGAAAATTGTAGGCATATAGCTGGAACGATATAGAAAATATTATATTTACTCTGAGAGAGTTATATTCCTCTACAGACTATTTCTTAACTAAGCACAGGCAATTGGGACCTTTGGCCTGGCCTCTGCAGGCTAAACAGATGCCAGATAATATGTAAATTCTCATATGAGTATGAATCTCTTTTCCATTTTATAAAACTTATATATGAAATCGGATATAGATGGATAAGTGCACATATGTATATCTATGCAAGCTTTACTCAATATATTGCATTTATCATTTATGGCAACTTAAGCTAAGTCATTTACATTGCAGTCCCCATACAGAGTGAAGACATTTGAATACCCCTAAATATCCTCTAAGATCTGCAGATCTGTCATTGTCTAACAACTGAAATTGATAGGAATGACTCTTATCTGACTCAAGCATGCCTCAACTAACTGAGAATCAGTCGAATAGATCTCTATGTGCAGTAGATGTGCTTGCAATCTAGAAGCACAGCACAAATTGCACTTGGAATTTGTCGAGCCAAGTTCATTTGGCTAACTATAATGTATTTATTGTCGGAGCAAGTCGTTTATCAGCTGCCAGAAGCTACTTTTTTATACCCTGAACCCATTGAAAATGGGAAATCAGGGTATAATGGTTTTGTTAAAAGTATGTAACAGGCAGAAGGAGGCGTAGCAGACCCAACAAACTATATATATTCTTGATCAGGGTGACGAGCTGAGTCGATTTGGCCCTGTCCGTCTGTCTGTCCGTCCGTCCGTCCGTCCGTATGTATGAACGCGTCGATCTCAGAAGATATAAGAGCTGGAGACTTGAAATTTTTTTCCTAGGTCCGTGTATATTACGCGCATATCAAGTTTTTCTCTAAATATCGATAATTACTCTCGATGTTTTATATCGATATATTATCGATAAAAACCCTTATCGAAAGCTAGCTATTAAATTATATCTCCTACACCTTTAGAGCTAGAGCTTCCAAATTTTTAATGTAGACTTCTATATATTTTATACAATTTCGATTTTAGTTAAAATTTACTCCCCACTCCTATTTCCACACCATCACCCTCACCTTTGTAGAAAGCGTATTTCAAATACTAGAGACATGTGCTTTGGAATATACATACATTTAAACATTATGATTATGTTCTAAGAGTTTCATTAAGATTGTACGTCTAGAAATTAAATTATTCAACAAAAAAATTCTTATAATGTTGCCCACACTGCAGCGCAGCCCAAGCGCAGCCGCTGCTTACTGCGCAGTTAGCAGAGCGCGTTCTAATACGTGCGTGTGTATGTATGTGTGCCGAAAAGAAGTGCACACTGATTAGAATATCAGATTAGAGGGTTCAGGGTATCTCCTAGTCGAGCAGTCTCGACTAGAGTCTTCTTACTTGTTTTTTTTTTTTGAGCGTGGTAAATGCCATAAAACTGTCTTAAGCTTGCGAAAATGAACGGCACTTGCATTGGACAAAAGCTCGCAGAAGAGACACACATACACACACACACACACACATATATATTTAACGTTGTCCAATATGCGCAACAATAAATTGCCGCAGCGCCCCGCCCACTCATTAAATATGCATACATATGCACGACACACGTCTCACGTGTGTGTGTGTGTGTGTGCGGCTGTGTGTGTGTGTAGTGTCTTTCCGTTTAATTCAATAACGCAGCAGCAACTCGTTTACCACGCCCATTACGCCCGCAAAAGGTACAGCAAGAGCAGCAGGAGCAGCAGCAGGAGCAGGAGCAGCAGCACGAGCAGCAGCACGAGCAGCAGCAGGAGCAGTAGGACTGGAACGTGCAATCGTTCTGTTCGCAGGACACACGGCCAGGACCTCATGTCACAGCTGAAGCTATCTCTGTGTGTGTGTATGTGTGTGTGTGTGTGTGTGTGTGACATGGCAATGTTATCCACTTGGGTATTGTAGCTGCCCCACCCGCTACCTGCCATCAGCCCCACCGGCCCCACGAGCCGCCCGCTGTCTGGCGTTTCATTTTCATGTTTCAGACTTGACGCGTTCGAGCATGTCGAGGCATTCAATTTCTTATTTCCTCGTCTGTTGTCGCATTTTCATGTGGTGTCATGTGCTTGTCTCCGCCACTGCTCGACACACCCACATGCCCACACGCCCACATGCCCACACCCACGCCCATTTGAGCCACTCGCCCACTATCGCCGAGGCAAGTCAATCATTTCGTTCCGTTCGTGTCTTAAGCCTCGTAACCAGGCAACACTTGGCGCCGGCGTTCAGTTCTCTCCGTTTAATGAGAATTTCAGGCTCATTCGTGCATGCCTCAATTTATAATTATACCCTGTACGCACATCGCATCACAGTCGAGCACTCGGCGAGCGTGCGCCCACTCGATTAAGTCAACGGGAATGTTAATTAGACGCATCCATTTAGATGCGAGGCATCGCATATGCTGGCACTACACCTACAGGGTATCTGCTAGTCGTGCACGGCTGCCTCCATCGGCTTGCCTGCATCAATAACTACATTGCCAGGCAAGTTGTTAATATAATGATATTCATACCCATCCATCCATGTATGTATGTGTGTATGTATGTGTGTATGTATGTGTGTATGTGCATACCCATTAGAATTGTGCTGCATGGGGTGGCTGCGCTCTCAAACTGCCAACTTTACTTAATGCAATTATTGTCAACATCAAATTGATAAAGTGCGCTCCATGTCTTTGCCAATGCTGGGCCCAAACTGTCGGAGTTTTGTGTGCATAACTAGCCGCAGGTCAGGCAACGCCTCCTCCCAGCACCACGACCCCCCCCCAGCCTAGCGGCCCACCTCGGGGTAGGCTGTCAGTTTGATGGCGATGGCCAGGGCAGGTAACTGAGAGCTTGCACCTGGAGCGTCCTTCAAAGGGAAAACAACAATAACAACAACAACAACAACAACGAAATAAAATTAATTAGCAGTTCCGGGCGCATCGAACTGGAACCAAAGCAGATACTTTTGCCACGCCCACGCGGACACCGCCCCGCCACGCCCTTATCGGCAACTGTGCGAAATTTCAGAGATTCTACTGGCCCGGCCAAATGTGAATGAAATATCAGCTACTGTAAGGCCGGCAGAAAGTTGAATCGTTAAAAAGCAAAAATGGCATAAATAGGCAAAAAAAAAAAGAGAGAGAAACCACAAAGAGAGAGAGAGAGAGGGAGAGAGAGTAAGAGCGAGAGAGAAACAGCAAATGTTTTTGTATGCCAAAGTTTCGTAAAAAGCATTAAAATTTAAAACAAAACCCAAAGAGAGTAAGAGAGTGAGAGAGAGAGAGAGAGAGAGGGGGAGAGAGAGCGCTCTGGTCATGGTCAAAATATTGAAAATATTTTTCAACAGTTCCCCACCGCCAACCGCCACGGCCGGTGTTAATAATTTGTTTTGTTTTTACCTTGCGGTTGGGGCATTTCTTTTTTCATTATACTCATTCACGAAACTGAAATGGGTATATTGGTTTTGTGTCATGTCAGTTGCTAGCTGCTGGACATATATAGTCTTGTATACCCTCGTCAGTTAAGGTGTCCAGATAGTACCAATACGCCCACTAGGGGCGTGGCAAATCGGAAAATACACCCCCAGGTACCTCGGAAAGGTAGTGCTACAGCTACGGTGTTGAAATTAGAAATGTTGACAACACAAGCTCCAACAGATATATTGGATATGCCAGATATACGCCCATTGTGGGCGTGGCAAATAGATTTAATGCGTATCTTCTACAGTTTTAGATCTAGTAAGCCCAAATTTGGTAACTGAGCTACTATTGCGATCCTATGAAGATCGATCTAATACCAATGCTAATTGGGGGCGTGGCAAATCGGAAAATGGAGCTGGCAGCGCTTGGGCTGTATGGCATGGAGGAGTATTATGCAGTCGGCTATGCCCGTT